ACCAGTCCTAATTCTTCATCTTCTTCAGTAGCGTCCCATTCCAAAGCAGCAGCAATCATCACAAAACGAAGATTTCGAGCTTCCAATAAAACCCCAGCCACTCTCCTCAACGCCAACGCCTCCAACTTGAAGGAAAAGATCAGGATACCAAGCATTTGTGAAGAAAAAGTTTTAAAGTAAATTTGTATCATTATCTAAAAATTATAATAATATTAAATAAAATAATATTAAATGTATATATAAATAAAAATTATAATAATGTTAAATGTATGTATCAAATAAATATAAAAAAGATATAAATTATAATTTTATAACTTATAAAATAAGTAAAATTTAATTAAATTAAATATCAATAGACTCAAAAATATCTACATTTACACCTATAATTATCGATTGAAATCATCGTTAACGATTCAATTTAGACCAAAATATTATTTTCATAATTAAGTTGGACTGAACAAGAGTTAAACGGCTATTAAGCTAGAAACTAAAGTTAAATTGGAAACCAGAATGATTTTCATAAAATTGGACGATTTTCAACATCTTATTAAAAATGTTTAAATTTTTTAAAAAAATTTAAAAATTAGATCTTATTAAAAGCTAACTTTATTTTTAAATAATTCAAATGTATAAAATATAATTTGAAACTATTTTTTATAAAGATGTTGATAGTTATAGGTGTAAATACAGATATTTTTAAGTCTACTCATATCTAATTTAACCAATATTCATTTATATTTGATAAGTTATAAAATTATAATTTATTTTTTCTTATATTTATTTTATATATGCATTTACTATTATTTTTATTTAATATAATTATAATTTTATATTTATATATACATTTAATATTATTTTATTTAATATTATTATAATATTATTTTTATTTTATTTTATGATTTTTAAATGGTGAGGGCAACATTACTCTTTTAAGAACAATTTAAGAATAAAATTACACCTTAATTTATGAAAAGTGAATCCTACTAGCTACAATAATGGACATTAAAATGACAAGAGAATATTGCTCCGATTTAATTAGTTTAGGGGTAACATTACTACGATAAGTAATTTAAAGGCACCATTACTCTTTTAAAAATAATTTAAGAGCAAAATTATATCTTAACCATAAATACAATAATTGTTTTTATGATATTCATTGAATAAGTGAGTTTAGACTACCCATTGAATCCAAACATTTAAATTTAAGTGTATATTAAACTATATATATATTTGCTTAACTTAAATAGATACACCAACACGAATAATTGAGTTCATTAACAAGGGACTCAATATTCTCATTTGGGAAAAAACATTATGATGGAAAAATTTCTTCCTCTTAGGAATCCAACTAGGAGAAATTAACGATATTATGTATCAAGTTTGTCACTACCTCCGTTTCGAATGTACAAGGTATTTTTACACAACGCACATCCAAGAAAAACAGTTTAGCAGGTAAAATTTCAAAAAAGAGAAATTTTAATTAGCTTCTGGGGGCATTTTAGGTAAAGAGACCTCAATACACTTAAGATTTTGTAAAATGCCTTGTGCATCTAAAAAATATATTATATATGAAGCATAGTTAGTACCAAATAAAGAGTGAAATCAAAATATATAAAGGAACATATATAACTAATATGTTCATGTTTAATACCTAGTCATATATATATCGAACAAGATTGTTTTAGATAAAAAGACTCGTCCGCCCAAAAAAAAAAAAAAATCTCATTTGCTTAAGCCAACCCTCCCAATATATTTGAAGAAAGAATAACACCAAAGCATATGATTATTTCAAAAACGGTCCTCTTTTTCATTCAAAAACAAGTGGTCCTCTTATTTCTTGCTATTCCTCGAATGATCCCTTAAATTGTCAATATTATTTCCTAAACGCAAGCACACTAGACAAAGTTCAATGAAAAGTGAAAACATAACCATGATTCGAAAATCTGCTTGAACTTTGGGGACAGAGATTATTAGTGTGACAATGAGTTGTAAATAGCCTATTCATTTAATACGCAATCTAAAATGAGATAAGTCCAGTATTCTTAAACAGGCTTCGTTGTTTGGGCCTACTCGTCATCCATAAAAGCCCATTTTTTGGGACTCCATCATTTTATACATTTTTTGTTTGTTTATGAAGTATATTAAGAATAAATATGTAAGTTGACCTTTTTATTCCTTGTAAATTTATCTTTGAAAATTATCAACGTTTTCATTTAATTTGTATACTTTGAAGGATACTTTGGTAATGATCTGTAAATGTTTGGAATTTAATTCTTATAAAATATATACTCCCTCTATTAAAAAATATAAGGTATTTTTTAAAATATTTGATATTAAAAAATATAAGAAATTTTTAATACTTTAAGATATAATTAATTTATTCTTGAAAAAAATTTCATAATAAACAAAACACTTTACGTTTATTTTAAAATAAAATATTCTATTAAATAAGGGTAAATATGAAGATGAGATTCGGTTAAAAAATATTTTGTATTTTTTTAACGGAGGGAATATTATTGAGATGAAAATTATATATTTATTCAAAATTAAAAATGATAAATAGAATGCTGATTAAAAATAAATAACATATATTGAACTTTAAAGAAAATATAACTTATGTCCTGTTAACGTTACAAGTGCCGATAAAGCTTGGGAGTTCGATATCTCACTGCATTCCATTATAATAATAAATTCCTAATTAAATATTAAAAGTAAATTCCAATATTAAAACAAAAAGAGTAAATGTCAACTGTTTTCTTAATAGAATGGTCCAATAGATATTTTAATCTCATTGTTTCATATAGTAAGGGTATATAATATGCCTAAGAATCTCTTACTATACACTACAAACTTAAATGTTATTTATTCATTTTATGAGTACCTATTAGAGTTTTTTTAATAAATTCTAGTTGTATATATTTAATATGCCGATAAAGTCTTTTATAATAAATAAATAATAAAGCCAGTAAAATTAAAATATTCACACTTAATTCAAACTTACCAACTCTATAACGCTCTAGCTCTTACCTACTAAGTTTAGAGCGACACTATTGAGTCGTGTTTCTTCACCTAACTTTTTATATTTGATGATCATGTTTGAAAAAATAAATATTTTCCTAACATACAATTTAATTCTAAAAGGCTACAATATGCAAAATTTTATCCTGTAACCTAATCAGATCCCACTAACAATATACAAATAATTAAAATATGATTCAAAGATGTGAATTGAGTGAACTTGCGATTATTTTACATGGGTAAACACAAAGTAATTTCGATATGAGAGACGGCTATATTGTTGTAAAATCGCACGAAATTAAAATGAAGTCTACAAGGCACTTAATTAAATATAAAATAAGACCAAGATTACTTTAGAGTCTATAGAGAAGCAAGATTAATTACTCAAGCTGTGATTAGATAGATAGGGCCATTAGAGAAACTAGCCACCATTAACTCATATTGTAGCTTGATCACCGACTGGAGTTTATAACCCTAGTTTAGAGTCAACAACCAACCACTGCTTTAATAAATATAATGTATGTATCGTGCATTAATTACAAATTGATTTATATATCATCAATAGAAAAGGAATATAAACATTTGACCCTAGAAGAAGAAGAATCTTCCATGTGTCATGAACAGTAAAACACAACAACAAGCCTACAAAACTAATCTGTTGCACTCTTGCATATATCATGGTGACTCATTAATTAAATGACAGAAACCACTTGACCTTGTCGAGAGACTATTAATTATTCCCAAGAGTACATATATGTGTGTTAGCATTTTAAGAGTTGAGTTATTGATTATTAATTTCAGTATGGTATAAAATACTGAAATGATGAGTCGTTACCCTTATATATCCACCTTATGACTAATCCATTAATATAATATAGTAGCATTTTAAATTATGACAATGCTTTTCGTACTTCATAGTAGAATTAATGTTTTGTTCCAAAAGCTAATGGTTTCGACGAATTTATATTGAGTTATGTTGGGATTCTTTTAAGTGAGAGCTTTACTATCAAACACTGATGCATTTTCAGAATTTGAATTCAAAACTTGTGGCTAAGTTTGTACAAGTTCCTCACTAGTAGAATCAAATGCTTCTCGGTTATAGTAAAATTAATGTTAGTGCCATTGTCCAATTTCATATAAACTTAGTTGTCTTCTATACAAGAACAAACAATTGGTGAAAAATGCAGCAGTTAAGTTCTGTGGACTTTGAAGGATATAGAATTTTTGTGAAAACAATAAAGTTCATCGGTGAAATCGATGCATTTAAGGTCTCGAGGAGCTCGAAGTATTGCATGAACAAGCTTTTTGGTTGGGAATGATAATTTTGAGGACAATGTTACCATTAACACTGTTTCATAATGACCTTGAGTCCCAAACTCCCAATTAGTCATATTTGGATGCTCCTTTCACCCGACAAGTGGAGGGAACAAATATCTAATAAAAATAAAATTTAAAAATTTTATTAAATTTATAAAACATAGTGAATGGGTTATAACTTTTTTTTAATTTTAGTGAAATATGTTAAAAACAACTTATAAATTAGATCTAAATAATATTAAATATGAAAGGCTAAGTTTAAGAAATGCTTGGATTAAAAATTCACCTTTTTTTTGGGTAAATAAAGAACATGGTAGAGCACTTCGGCCAAAACTTACCAAAAAAAAAAAAGAGCACTTCGGCCAACGGCATTATATTAGGATTTAGGATGCAAGAATTAAAACGATCAGCATTGGCCGTTGACTAATTAGGCAATCACCTGATCCCATTTCTACAACCTAACTTTACAACTCCAAACTGCTCTTTCCCGCATCACCAAGCTACGGCTTTCGACTTCCCACCTTTCTCTTTTTCTCAAACGCCGAACAAATGTAAACATATATATATATATATATATATAAGGATAAACCCCATCTAACCCCCCAATTATTTCGTCGTTATCAATTCTACTTACTTTACCTTTAATTAGTTAATTAATTAATGGCTTCTTAATCATCATGTTGAAATGCATAGACTGTACACAGTCACAATTGTAATGTTATTTTAAAATTTCTACTTCAAAAAAAAAAAATCATAGACCAAAAGCCAAAGATGAGAAAAAATAAAAATACTATGAGGACGGTGGTGGAGAGATGTCATCGGCTCGTCTCAAAGCTCGCATACGCCAAAGTCTACGTAAATACGGCGTCGTCTGAGGGGGACCTCCGCATTGAGTGGCGTCTTATTTTCGTAACTTCAGATGGGGGCCCCACACTCTTCTAAAGAAAATCCACGTCACTTCCTTGTCTTTTGGCGCTTTCTGGCTTTACCTTGGCGCCAAAGTCAGCCAACAAATGGCGTCACCCTTCACGGCTTCGAAACGGAGGCCGCGTCTTTAACGGCGCCGTCATTAACCGCAGTAGCGGTGGACTGGAGGGTCAACACGGACATGCTGGGAGAGGATGGCCCTTCCACCCCGTTGCCGTTGGACGCTGCGGCGGGATGGTGGTTGGTAGCGGTGGGGACCAAGGGGTTCCGGGAGTGACACGTGGCGGTGGAGATGGCGGTGGCGAGGGAGATTGGCATGAGGCAGAGACCTTTCCCCTGGAGGTACTGCATGGCGGAGCCCATGTCTTCCTCCATGAGCTTGGCCACCTGGTGCTCCGTCAGGGCCAGGGTGTCGTTGGAGGACGACGCCGTTTGGTTGCCGTTCGAGTTGCGAGCGGCGGTGGACTGGATGCAATCACCTCCCTGAAAGAGACAAGTCAAATCACCCCATGATGATGGTTGTCAATTATTATATTATCAGACGGAAAGAGAAGGTAAAGCGAGAGAGGAAAGGAAAAAAGAAGAAAGAAAGAAAGAAAGAAAGAAAGAGTTTTGTTAGGGTGTGAAAGGTGTCTCGAGAGAGATAGAGACTAGAGAGAAAGAGGAATCTGAGAAAGTGGGCACGCGTGCTGCCTTTTTAATTGTCATTATATGTCGATTGAGAATTGAACTGGTAAGGGCAAGGCCAAGTGTGCGTGTGTGTGTGAGAGAGAGAAGGGTGGGGAGGGGTGGGGGAAGGGGGTGGTTGGGTTAAGACTTAAGAGAGTACTGAGTCCGACAACATTGACAAAATGATGCCTCCCCTGTATGCTGCACATCTTCAACTTATTATTCCCTGTTAGCTTTATTTATCTATATCTTCACAGTTTCACATAACACTTTTAATATTGGAATCAATTATCAGAGAGACAGAGACCTCCTCCGTTGAAGTTTGGGTTTTAAGGCAATAAAAAATATAGCTATGCAAAAAGCAGAATACTAGCATGGAGGAATAGTATTGGGTGATAGCTGGGTTACCTCAGAGGAGATATCAGCAACAAGAGGAGCAACAGCAGCAGCACCGCCCAATCTGCTCATGCTCAGAACCTGTTCATTTCGCCCCCGCATAATAATAAAGATCCCCAAAAGTATTTACACAAACAATTTTTCATCGATATATAAACTAGAATCGCACCTTAACTTGGAGCTGTAAGAACTTGACATAGTCTATTATCTCGTCCAGCATTGAGGCCTTGTCTGTCTGTCATTTCATTTCATTTCATTTCATTTCACACATATTTCCAAAACCCCATCAGTGATTTGTTTTTCTTCGGGCCAAGTGAGGCACGGAATGATAGGAAGAGAGAGAGATAGATAAGGTTGGTTACCTTGTTGGCATTTGGAACCAGTTCCTGCAGGGCCTTCATTCTCTCTGCGATTCTCTCCCTTCGCAGCTGCCAACACAAACAATATCCCAGATTCAGAATATTGACAAAAACCTCACATTACACACTGTTCCTTGCTCAGTTGCTTGCCTCCTCATAATTCCAAGCCACTGTCTATTTTCGGGAAGATAAATTTTCTTCACAATCAACGTTTTAAGTTTGATTCCGAAAATGGATATAAAAAAAAAGAGGGAAGAAAATGGCGAGGATTTAATGGGCATGTTGCGCGGAAAATGACCCATGAAATTGTGGGCTGGATTTTCTCGGCAGCCTCAATTAATGAAGCCAGCAACGAAGTCAGAGAAAGCGAGAAACAGTTACAGTACCCTCTCCGCGATGCTGTGTGGGTCCGTCGCTTGACCTCTCCTTGCCCTGACCCTCTGCTTCGGCTGTGCCGGAGCTCCGTTCGTCGGGGCCTGGTTCGTCGATGGCGTGCCTGATGCTCCATAATTCTGCCCATTATTCATATTTAACAAGCATTTAAGAAAATCAATAAAGGAAAAAGAATCTGAAAGTCGAATTCAACCAGCCAAAAAGGATTGCTACGAAGTAAATAAATAAATAAGAATATCTTTAAAGACGGAACCTGAGGATGATGGAAATGTTGGGACTGGTTGGAAGCTTGATGGGCGTCGTGCATAGATCCGGCGAACCCGTTGTACAGAGATTGGACGGTACCCTCGCCGGCCTGTGAAAATTACGCAAAAAATTCGGAGAAAATTACGCTACATATCATCCGAACCTGAAATGCTTGATGATCAAGCTTTGATAAATCTCTATTGGCCCAAATAACCCTGGATGTATCCCTATTGAAACTCACCGGAATATGAGATTTGAAGGAGGAACCATCACCGACGTCGTTACGGGAAGGGTCGAAGTTTCCCCCTGCACCGAGAGACAAGGGCATCTGAAGAAGGCTAGAATCGGCGGCAGCTCTGGACGTGAGAAGCTGGCGCTGAAGCATCAAAGCCACGGCCTCGGCGGTGATGGACTTGGGAGCGGGAGCGGAGGTGGGAGGGATCTGGTGGTTGCGAAACTTGTCATCGAAGTGGAAAGCGGCGGCATTATTGTGGTCGTCATCGGCGGCGGAGGAGGAGGAGGGATTGAGAGGGTGGTCCCAGAAGGGCTTGGGGTTGAGGTCAGGCCAGGAGCAAGAAGGAAGGTTGGAGAGCATTTGGTCGAGGAAATCGTCGTGAAGGTCAGGTTGTGGGACCTGGTCGTGAAGAGGGATTTGAGAAGAGTTCATGGAGGAGGAGGAGGAAGAGTTGATTCCCTGTTGCATTTCGGTGGTGCTGGGCTGCATAGTCATCCAGAGCTACAGTTGGTTCTTGAGGTTCGAGTTTGAAGTGGGGAAGACGAAGAGACTCGGAACGAGAACGAGAAAGAAAAGAGAACGTTTTTTTCCCGGGTTTCCACAGAAGCTGCCTCCCACTATCTTCTTCCTCCGATCTCTGGTTTTACTTTTGGGAGCTATGCTTGTACTTATACATAAATATATCACAAACCAAACCAGAACATCATTTTTTTTTATTTTCTCTTTTTATTATAAAAAGGCCATCGTGGTTTCAAATTTTTTTTTATATAAATGCGAAAAAAAATTACTTAAAAGTTTCAAAAAAATATAAATATAAAAAACTCTCATGAGATCAGTTTTCCTTTGAAATTCCATGTAATTTATTGAATGCCGGAGTTGTCAATTATTTCCTGATAAAAACTCTCAAGGAATCAGTTTTACTTTGAAATTCCATGCCATTTATTGAATGCTGGAGCTGTCAATTATTTCGTGATAATTGTTAATTATTTCTATTTAGTTTTTATCTGAACAACTCCATTAACCAAACCTAAAGCCCGTGTGTGAAGCTGGACAACTCTATTAACAATTATCCAGTAATAATTATCAATTTTAATACAGCAAATATGCAACTTCAAAATAATTTTATAAAAAAATTAAATTTAATATTTTTGTGTGAGACTTTAAAATGATATTTCTCGAAAATAACTTCATGATAGTTAGGGTGAGTAGCTAAAAGGGATAAGTTATTGGAAGAATCTCAATCAAGGCCTCCATAGAAATTTACATTTAGAGTCCAATATAATTTTAAAAACTCTCTATACATCGAAAAGCTGTAAATGAAAATATATTTTAATAAAATAAATGCATTTACCTTCCCTCTCTTCATAAATGGACAATATAATATTTATAAATTATCAACATAATGTCTTGTATTATACATTTAATCTAGTAAAAATGATTTAACTTAAAATGCATAAGTTGCACAAGACGAAAGAAAAACAAAATACCTATAAATACATAACATAATGTCTTGTAATGTACAATTAGTTTGATAGAAATAAGTCAACTTGGAGTGAAGTATATAAACTGCACAAGATGAAATAATAATAAAATATTCATGAATGTACAATACAATGTCTTGCAATCGATAACAAAATGTTCAAGGGTAGATGTGTTTTTTTTTTTTGTTAAAATATATTTTCACTCAAAGCTTGAGGAGAATTTTTATATTGCATTGGACCATAAATGTAAATTTTTGTGCCATGAGGGCCTTAAGTGAGATTCAGTTATTTTTTTTACTTGTGTCATTAAAAGACTTAATATTTCAGAAAGTAATATTTTTGTGTGCTTGTATCACTGAAAATATTAATATTTCACGGAGTCAACCCACTACTTTTGCAGAAAAGGAAATAACTCACTAAACAGAGCCCGAGTAAGTTCTGCAAGAGAATAAGTCATGGTTCTTTAGTATTTATTTTATATTATTCAAATAAAGGGATATTGTTTAGTCTTTAGCATTGAATTTTTTTATATTTATTTAAAAAAATTAGACTTCTCGATAATTAAGATAAAATGAAGTGAGCAATGAACATTGAACTTTGTTTTTTTTTTCCAGATAATTCAGTGAATTAAACCACATAGCCCCTTTGAATGGAGAGATTAAAAGAGCAAATTAAAGTGAGGTGTGAGTAAAAATTAAAACCTCAGAGCCTAATTATGTATTAAAGATATTTCATGCAAAATGGTCCCATTTGTGGGAACTTTATTAGTGAGTAGAGTGGCGAGACCTATTTTGAACCTATCAAGCTTTTGACACAGCCTCATCTATTTTCCCCCCTCCCTCAAAGAAAGAGATTGATATATGAGATGAAATGGACATGAACAATATGTTAGATACGTAAATGAGTACCGTTTTGAGCTTTGTAGTTTGCACATGTGATGTCTTCCATTTTGTGGTGCGATAGAAGAATGGGAGACTTTAGTCAAAAGTGACAGAGAGGCATGATTTTATCACCAGGACTCGTCACTAGTCACTACCGCGTGAGTAGGAGAGGGACAATAAACCTGACATAAGAGTCAAGGATTTGAAATTCAAGCTTAACTTGATTGGGTGAGACCAAAACTATCTAGAAAGCAATGTCTATTTTACTTTTATTAATCTCCATTATTCAAATTATAATATAATTTAAAATGTTAGCGGGTAGTTATCCTAACAGCTATATTACCTTCATCTCTTGAAAGAAATATTGACTATAAACCTAATGTTAACACGGTTAGTGTACGTGTATAGATTGCGTGTCTTTCTTTCTTTCTTGTGAGAAAGAGTTAAATTAGAAATAAATTTTTTTACAGTAACAATTTGAGACTAATTTATATATACCAATAAGATTTAATAATGACAAATTACAAATTTATTTTTTAAAATAAAAATATAAACTTTTAACAATACTTTTTATTTAATATAAATTTATAATCATTTTAATTTTTCTCTATTTGAGGGCATTATTAAAAAATTATTATTAATAAAAATTAATTTTTATTAAATTATATTATATTTTGAAATAATAAAATGTTTTTAATATTATTTATAATTTAGGATAGAAAAAGTATAAAATATTTTTTTTATCCATCAAATTGATATGCAAAGGCTTCAGATTCAGAATGTTCCCAGATACACTGTTGGGTCAAGTTTTTGGGATCTTGATATGACACACATAATAGTCTCAACCCTCAAGCATTTCTCAGGGTCGGGTGCAAAGCAATTTCCACCGCGAATTAATTTATTTTATTATTATTTTTTTGGTTATCACAAATAATGATATTGATGGATAATTGAATCCCCAAGTTTCGAATTGAATGTGTCAGTTTTTATATTCTGGCGATGATCTCCAGCGATTTTCCGTATCACAATCATTAGTGGAGATCCACGATGTGCCCCCAATTAACTCAACCGCTTCTCTCTCTCTCTCTTCCTGCTTTTAATGTAAGTATACAAATAAAAAAATTTATATTTAAATATAATTATTTTATATTATTTCATGAAATTGCCTGTCCAGTTAATTACTTTGTTTTAAAATTCTTTCAATATATTGTTCACCTTGTGCTCAACAAACTAGCAAACAAAACTCATCTTGGATGTATAAAGCAACTACGGCTGATCATGTGGCCCAATCCTTCTCGAGCTAGTTTGGCTAGGTACTAGGCTAGAGTCAAAAACCTGCCTGACCTAAAGATACATTTACTTTTTTTTTTTTAATTTTGTGCATAAATTAATTATTTTGTAGTATTATTTTTCTTTAGATTTTTATTATATTTTGTTTATGAATTTTATAGATATTTTTATAGAACTGATAATTTAAATCAAGATGAGCTAGCTTGAACTCGTTTAAAAAAAGTTAGGGTCAGGCTAATTATATGAATTTTTTATAAAGGTAGTATACTTTAATGCAGGCTCAAATTGAGTTCAACTGTTGGAATTACTAACTCTAGGTATATGTAAAGCAAGTAATTCAAGTCTTATAAATTAGTTTGAACCTACTCAAAAAAGTTGGTGATGGGGTTAATTATACGGGCTTGTTTTAAAAAATAAGGTACCTTAAGTTCAATCCAAATAAACTTATCTAGCCCGAATTAGCAGCTTTAGTTTTATATGATTTTAAATTTTATAATTTTTTTAAAAAAATTGTAAATTAATTTTTTTAACTTTATTGGTTTATGTTAGGTAAAAAATAATAGATAATTCTCAAGCACATATCATTTGAAATATTATTAATTTTAATTTTAGAATTATTTTTATAAAACAATATATTTTAAATAAATTTAATTTTTTTGTTGGTCAAAAATATTTTTTGAAAACTATTTTTTGCGTTGGGTCAAACTCAGCCCAAATCTTTAGGCAACCCAATACCTATTACATTAGACCAAGTATCAAGTAAGGATGAAGCCCGGTCCAATTTTACCCATGCACAGCTCTAATTGCAATAACACTACGATACAATAATGAACATCAATTTCTCTACCAAAAAAAAAAATTGCATTCATACAAGTTTAAACTCAATATCTTTTCTTCCACTTAGATTAACTCAATATATCTTTTCTTCCACTTAGATTAACACACCTGTGGCTTGTTATAGTTGATGAATTTAATAACTCTCCAACATAGTAAAACCTTTTTTAAGAAATTAGAACCGATATAGGAATTGTTGTCACAAACGTATCAATCCCACTTGCAGATGAGATTAGGTCTTAGGTGTTGATCACTACGCCGAGTTCTTTTTATCCAAATATTTAAGATCACATAATTAATATTCCAAGTTTGCGACGCAACCCCACAAAACCAAAGCATTCGTCCCATTTGCCTAATTGCTAAATATCTAATCAAAACTTCATCTCAATACTACGTCAAAACTGAAAGAGCTGAAGTATTCTTTATTTTACTCTTTTAACATCCAAAATTTAATTGCAGTTCAAATCACACGTAGAAAATTATTTGAGGGATGGATAGGTATATATATAAAAGAAAATGATTCGAACCAAGTGTTAGAAGCACGCAAGCTCTATTGGAACGAAAAGAAAAAGGGGGAGGGGGGTTGGGGGGCTTTTGAATTAGTGTTGAATACGTCACTTTGATTGCCATAATTTCTTCAAGCACTTATTTTTCTGATCACCTATTTTTCCCTTTTTCTCGCGAACACCATATTGTGATTTCCTTTTTCTTTTTTAATTGCTTACATATATCCTTTTATTAGAGATAATTTTATTCAAGATACAGTTAAACACTAAATGTAGGTACCTCTCTTATTAAAAATTCAAACCTTAGTTTGCTACGTTGTGAAAGACCTTTTTGCCAGACTTAACACATGAACATAAACATGAGCATTCTCTAAATCTAGCCAACACACATTTTCCTATCAAAACATTGAGCAAACTAATAGAGAAACCTCTTTATTGAAACATACTACACAATTTTTCTAGTTTAAGATTATATATAGATAGCCTGATGATGTTGGGTTTGGATTAGATGTGTTTAAATTTTAGTCCAATTCATTATTTAGTATCTAGGTTTGACCCAAATTCCATTAAATTTTATATTATATTCTTTTTTAGCATCTCAAACACTCACTCCAGCGCGCTCATTTTAAATTCAAGCAAATTATCTTTACTGT